CTAACACTAGTTTATCCATGCTAGTCACTAGCCTCTCTAATGCTAACACTAGTTTATCCATGCTAGTTTCTAGCCTCTCTAATGCTAACACTAGTTTATCCATGCTAGTTTCTAGCCTCTCTAATCCTAACACTAGTTTATCCATGCTAGTTTCTAGCCTCTCTAATCCTAACACTAGTTTATCCATGCTAGTTTCTAGCCTCTCTAATGCTAACACTAGTTTATCCATGCTAGTTTCTAGCCTCTCTAATGCTAACACTAGTTTATCCATGCTAGTTTCTAGCCTCTCTAATGCTAACACCAGCTTATCCATGCTAGTTTCTAGCCTCTCTAATGCTAACACCAGCTTATCCATGCTAGTTTCTAGCCTCTCCACTAATACTAACACTAGTTTATCCATGCTAATCGCTAGCCTCTCTGATGCTAACACAAGTGAATATCCTCATTTTCCAGCACCGGCCCCTCATTTAGTGGGGCCAGCTGCTCAGTTAGCGGTGCCGGCCTATCATTAATCAGATCAATAGCTGGCTTAGGAATAGATATAGCCTCCTGCTACAAGGATGTAGCAACCACTGGTTGTGCAATAATCTTAATTTTGTCCCTCATACCACACCATACTATTTTACCAAACAAACTAATGAAATTGGCACAAAAGATGTGGAAAAATTGAGCTCAGAGACTCGTTAAATACAGGTGTGTGCTGTAATCAGCACCACAGGTGTGTTCAGTCTTCTAATCAGTCCCTCTGTCTGTTTAAAGGTAAACACTACAAGAACATTTCCAAGCAGCTTGATGTTCTTCTGGCTTCAGCTGTCCAGACTGTTGAGAAGTTTAAGGTCCACAGGATTGGAGATGACCTCCCTGGACATGTCCACAACTTATGGGTCCTCCAAAAGGACAAAGACTCGAAGCACAGCTAAAAACAATCAGACATGGGACTGGCCTCTAACTGAACTCAGCTGGAGCAGAACACCTGTGGACAGGTGCAGGAGTCTCAGAGATGCACAGAAATCACTGGATTATCCCAACAGGTTGAGCAGCAAGATCTAAAGGTAAGAATGCACCACTCTTCAGTTTTTAACTTTGTTTCTAACAGCTTCCTGTCAAACAGCAAGTTAAAGTGCCTGTGACATCATCAAGTTTTTGTCATAAATATGAATCCATTTTTAAAGAGGACATACTGCAGAATAAATAAATTAAATAATAAATCACACCACTGAGACGAACAGTTGAAAGATTCAAATGTGAAGTAACAGGAAGTGATGTCGAAGGGGAGTGTCTGCCTGCAAACAGAGCGCTGCGACAACTGAGTGTAGCGAAGAATCTGATGTTTATTTAGATTATTTTGAGTCGCTATCGATGAAGAGTCAGAGTTCAAGTAATGTTGTTGAAATAAATATCAGAGTTCTGCTTTGATGTCACTTCCTGTTTCACTTTGTCTGAGGGTAGGTAGGTAGGTAGGTAGGTAGGTAGGTAGGTAGGTAGGTAGGTATCGTTTCTGTATTTGAAGGAAATGCACTTTAAAGCGTTATGTCCATTAATTTAAAGTATTTTGTTAAGTTTGTCAGTTTCAGTGACCTTCATTCCTTTTTAAAAAACAAAGAAGCAACATTTACAGTAAAACCGACTGGTTCATCAGACCACATCTGTCTGAACTCTGCCTAAATTATAATCTTGACTCGTGGAGATGGGTTCAATAATCACTTCACTTTCATCTGTAGCAAAATTAAACCTTCATCTCTAAACTGACATCAACATTTAATTAAAGAGCAGCAGCTCAGATTCAGGTCCATCAAACACCACCGTACTACTTCTTTATTTCRTCTTTGTCCTTTTTCCAAATGTAATGCGCTCACTGCAGGAGATTTCTCTGTTACATGATTAAAGTCTGAAAATGGCTGTGGTCTAATTATTCCTGTGGCCAGAGCAGATCTGAGAGGAGGTGAGGGAGAGAYAGGTAATTTCACAAGAAACAAGCTGTTTGACTCTCAATGAATAATTTACTCCGGCTCCTTGGGGGTCACAGGAGCTTAAGGTCTGCAGTAGGTGACAAACTCGCTGCACTGAATCTTTTTATTTTAATCGTTTTCCCCGTCTGTCCCYTCTTCCTGCATCCTCCTACCTGCCTCTTTCTCCAAACGGCTTCAGCTGTGTGTGTGCGGTTCCTCGGGGAGCTGAGCTCATTTTGTATGTTCAGAGCGAAGCCGGGCTCTGAATTGGCTATCAAATTTTTACATTATATTTTATCGACAAGTTGGCAGTGGAAGGAGGATGGAGAGTGGCGGCAGGGGACGCCTCGGCCCCGGCTCTTTACCGGGGAGAGGAGCCGATGGAACGCAGCTGATTGAAGCCATCGCTACAGCGCTAACAGCAGAAGGTGATGGAGCAGAAGAGAAAAACTTCAGTTAAATGCTCTTATTGAGAGCTTTCGTCCTGATAAAGGCACCAGTTTCTGTTAAATGTGTGAAAACAGCTAAAGTTTTACCATAAAATTGCCCGTCTGTCAGCGCTAGAGATGTGACGTTCACGAACGATCCGAATCTTTTCAACGGCTTTTTACAACGAACAATAGGAGCCGAATCGTGGGCAGTAACGAGCCATTTGTGATTTTATTTATTTTATTCCTCATGTATCCATCCATCCATTTTCTTCCTCCTATCTGGGGTCGGGTCGCGGGGGCAGCAGCTTCAGAAGGGAGGCCCAGACCTCCCTCTCCCCAGCCACTACCGTTATAATTGCTTCAGACCATGATGGTGGTGTTGTCATTTTCTCTAAAGTCCAATTTAAAGACTTTAATAATCCAGGGGACAGTTCTTGTTCAAATCCCTTATACCGTTCACCTGGAAGACCATCTGTACCAGGTGTTTTATTATTTTTCAATTCTTTTATCACCAATTTCAGCTCTTTTCCAGTAATATGCTCAGTTAGGCTTTTATTCTGACATTCTCCAATTGTTGGCAAGTCTAATGAATTGAGAAATGTTTTAACAT